GAATCATATCCAGGAAATCCTGGTTCATTTTCATCAAATGTTTCATATTTAAATACTGCTAAATCTTCTCCTTCAATTGTAAGTAATTGTCTTAAAGATTCTGCTCTATTAGCATCCGCAATGTCATCGGATAAAGAAAAATTTCCCAATTGAGCTCCAACACGAATAGTATTTTGTCTTAATAATACTGCAACCCTTGCGTGAGATAATAATCCTGTAGCAAGCCTTGTACCATCATTATTTAAAATAAATCTGATACTATTTAACTTGACTTTAACTCGCATAGTTGATTGTGAAGGTGGCTTTTCGGCTTCTGGTGAAAAATCTAATGCTTCTTCGAGTGATGGTAAGGAACTAACAGTTGCTGATATTGGAGTTGTAGTAGCTTTTGATGAAGTAAATGTGTCAAGAACAAAATTATATAATTTCAAAATACTTTTACGAGTTACAATTACATTAATTGTTGACATTTCAATATCAACACTTTGATCAATTCCTTCATATTTTGTCATATATTCAGGTGATTTTGGACTAACTTTTGAATATTTTACGTGTACAAGATCTTCAGAATCATCAGATTGGGTATTTCCATATCCTTCCGATGCAGCTAAATGTCTAAATTCGGATCCTGTATCTGACATCTTATCTTCAATACTTAATGATTTAAGAACAACTTCTGCTGACATATCAAAAGAACTTAAAACATAATTTAAACCAAAATGTTCCAAAACCATATCAACAAGAACAATCTCTGGTTTATCCGGATCTGGATCTGCTTTCTTAACAGTAGTAATGAATTTGTCCACCTTAAATTCAAATTCAAAAGTTCTCTGATTTACCTTTGCATTCTGGTGTGACTAAAAGGAATTAATAATAAATAAAAAAAATTATTAAAACTTAAATAAACATATATATATACACATATAAGAACATACTTCTGTATCCTGAGCATCAAAAAATTCCTCTGCATGATCCTCATGGGTATCGTTATCTTCGTCAATTACTATTAAATCGTGTAAAGTTTTTCCTAGTCCTAGCTTTTCGGCCATTACTATAGAATCCCTGTGTTTTAAACGATCCCATTGAACGTCTTTTTTATCTTTTAAAGCTTTTTCTCTAACCAATTCATTTGTTAATCTGCTCAATGACAATTTATCATCTACTATCTCTCTGGAAACGGTTTGTGATTCTTTTGCATTCGGCGGCGGCGGTGACGACGACGGTGATGAAGACGGTGATGAGGGAGTTACTTTGTCAATAATATTCATCATGATCTTATATTTTCTATCCGAAAAATTTGCTTTTAAAAGAGGCAAATGTCCGGAAACTTTAAATTTAGTAAGATTAGCAGCTTTAGGTGCTATTGATATTCCCACATCAAATTGCATGTTTATTCTATCAATAACGTGAAGATCATATTTAGAATCGACCTCACGTATTTGAGCTAAACATCGTTCAACAGATTGACCCACAAGAAGCTAATAATAAATAATATAAATAATACAAATAATTAAACGTTATTACTGTACATCATATTTAAATATTCAAACAATAAAATACATTTATATATATATATATATATATATACGTGTGTTTATATATAAATTTAACATACCTGAGTTGACGAAAGTTGAACAGAAAATCTATCATACATTAAAGATTGTAATTGCTTATAATTTTCATCACTATAATTATCACCTATTTTAGATTGAATTTCTGATATAAGGGATTTTTTTACCAATTTACTTTCTACACTGATATGACCGGAATCTAACACTACGACTTGAGCATCTCGATTAATACAATTTTCGGGAACAATTATG